CTATCATCGAAAATTCTGTGCTCAGAATTTGACTGCGTGACTTTTCAAATCAGACTTTTCACTGTTCGTACATATTGGATACTATATATATTTAAAAGATGCCTGCTGATGCAAAAGTTGTAACAACCTTATTTTCAATGACATTTGATCGGAGCAATAATGGCGAACCAAAGTTTTTAATCAGTGACGAAGAAATGCAATTGCACAACATACTGGAGAAAATAATAAGACAGCATGCAGAAAATTCTGATGTTGATGTTCAAGAAGAAACGATATTGTATTTTTGCGATGAAAATGAAATTTAACCAGAAGCTATGGAGTACATGGAAAACGAAGAATTTGAGGATTTTCTAGAAGAATTAAATAATTCATGTGAGCAAGACAAAATTGACTTTAAATATAAAGAAGAAGCAGTAAAGTTTTGGTTGAGTGGAAAAGGTAAGCCTTATTCATTTAATACTGTAAAGCACAAATACAAACAAGTAACTAGCGAGCGACAATTACGACGATGGAAACAGCAAGTTGAAGCAGGAGGCAGTAGATATGAAAAAATATTCAAGATATCAGAATATGTTTTTAATAATTTTAATGAAGCTATGATATCGAAGATGACTGTACATGATATTGATTTGAAAAGATGGGCTTTACAAAAAAAAGCTGAAATAGCTATGCCTTTGTTCAAAGCATCGAATTGGTGGTTCTGGCAATTTAAAAAAAAACATAATATAGATCTCGAAAAATCACTAAATTAGTTACAACAGATTCATTGAAAAATATTGATGAAATTGAAAATCAATCTGAAACTTTTAGAGTTGAAATTAAACAATTGCTTACAAGATACGGTGCAAGCAATGTATACAATTCTGATCAGAGCGGATTTAATTTGGAGATTCACAGTGGTAGAACATTAAATTATAGAGGACTGAAAGAAATTCAAAGCATAGCACGATCACTGTCTTCCTTAACACACAGCTACACTATTTAACCTGTTATATCAGCAGAGGGTAATTTGCTTTCACCTTTATTTTTAGTATTGAAAGAAGCAAGTGGAGACTTTGGGCCTCGAGTTAGACAGACATTATTTACACCAGAAAATGTATTAATACGAGCTTCTACATCTGGAAAGCTTTCTAAGCAACTGCTTCAGACGCGAATGCAAGAAGTATTTTTAAAAAATACTGGGAATTCATCGGTCTTACTTTTAGACTCTTGGAGTGGGCAATGTAATAATATCGTACAAGAAGTTGTACCGAAACAAGTAAGTTTAATGGTAATGACAATACCGCCTGGCACTACAGGTAAAATTCAGCCTTTGGATGTTTATGGTTTTCGATTCTGGAAGAATTTTGTAAGAAAGCTATCTGATTTTATTATTTTAATGCAACACAATATCAATTTACACGAAAGAAAGTTTATCATAAAAATGCAATCCCTCGTACATAATCAGTTAACTTCTCCGAGGTATCACAATACTTTTAAGTATGCATGGTTCAAAAGTGGTTATATTGATAGACCTCCAAAATTTGATAATCCTGTTGAATTTTGCTTTGCCATAAAAGAAGAACCTGTATGTACCTACGAAGATAACATTGCAATTATAATTTGTAGTTGGTGTAAAAAAAGTTATGCTTCAATCATTTTTGTACAGAGTATCATTATTGTAAGAATTATATACTATAATTATATAAAATAATTCTCAAAAATATCAAACATATGTACGGGATAAATAGAAAGTTGTATTTTATATATGTTAATATGTATATGAATGTAATTATTAAAAAAAATTAATAAATAATATTTATAATAAACAAAATATATAATAAAATGTTTTTTTATTGCCACTTTGGGACTCACGATACAAATTTTTTCCGTAAAATTTGATATCACGTTTGATCGTGTAATTTCCCCTATAATTCGAATCTGCCATAAGCAACAGTAGTTTCCATTTGAAATTTTCAAGTTGAGCCAGATTTGGGCCAGTTTTTGGAATTGGACCCAAAAAACTGAGTTTCCCATTTGAAAGAACGAAAAACATTACAAAAGAAACACTGTAAATCTTTTCAAGTGCAAAAAACACGAATTTACACATATTTGAGGTTATGTAAGATCATAAGATAATTTTTTTCGGTCAAACTAATTAATATACCTTAAAGTATGAGTCTTTCCCTTCAAAATGAATTTTGAATCGTTGAGATATCTTTTTCTTTCACCGAGATATGATAATTTGAATTTAGCTTCTCGCCAACTTATGCACTTCAAGCGTATGTAGATAATTATAATTGGCAACCCTGTTTTTATCACCTGAATTACCGTATGGGCCGCTAAAAAAAAATACGTGTCCAATATTTTTCGATACTATAATCGTATGCAAAGTTTGAAGAAAATCGGTGACGGACACCTCCCTGCCTTCCCTTGTAAGTATAGAGCTGTCCTTCTTGCTGGGATGCTGTTTTGGTTGATAACTTCTACGAAATCTGCTGCTGAGTAGTCGCCTAGCAACAAATTTTGCAATCGCCCTGCTCGCGAGAGCTTACTCCCGTTTTTGCTTAGCTCCAATTGTTCGAGATACTCGTCTTGGAGCGTCAATACCCAGTTTTCAATGTCTTTTTGAGTGCAGTCCATTGTTATTTATTTACGGTATCGCGCTTTACTTTATTATTGCCAAGATTAGTTTTCTTTACAAATTACACAATTATTCGAAGGACAATGCAAGTGCGAGTGCTACAATCAATGCTTTATAAACAAAAATTTAGTTTCTACTAGCCAACGAAAGGCTCAATGCAAGTTATTTTACTATTGCGCTAGTCGAAAAACTCTTTTGCTCGCTATTGCGCAATACAATAATCCTGCCTATCAGGCACACTAACTGTTTGTTAGCGCGTCTGTGATGGTTAGGTTCTAAATTAATATAGCCAGCTTATCTCCGCGCAATCACCAATAATTACAGTTAGCAATACTCGAAAGATATAACTACATTGAGACAAAAGCGAAAGAAAACATTTGTGTTTCTTTCGTTTTGAATGTTGCCGGTGTTAGTTTTTTCCCCGGGCCAACGGGTACAATGTTGTTATTCTTCGACAACCTTCAAAAGCTATTGGTGATTGCGAGGTAACTTACAAAGAGTCGTTCGGTCATAGTCGCACGCGCTTACACTGTTTACAAACTGTCGTCGCGGTGGGCCTTCGTGAGTTAGATTACGATTTACGAGGGTGCTCCGATTAGTACTCAGCCTCACCGCCCGATGGCGTCACTCTCGCAAAAGAAATATTCTATCACGTAGTACAACCTTCTCGATGGTTACTGTCAAGATTTTAGCCGGATCGGAGTTGTAGTTTATTTTTGAGAGCGTGTGAAAGCAAGTGTGTCCGTTGATTTTTGAAAAATGGAAAAAGAGCAGTATCGGTCGGTGATTCGATTCTTGTTTTTGGAAGGGAAATCGCGCAGCGAAATCAAAAAGCGCTTGGATGCTGTGTACGGTGACTCTTCTCCTTCGATGACGACCGTCAAAAATTGGTTTAACGAGTTTCAATGTGGTCGCACGTCGATTTTTGAAGAGCCACGTCCAGGTGCTCCGAAAACGGCTACCACGGAGGATAACGTGATAAAAATTCACGATCTCATATTGGCAGATCGTCGATTGAAGGTGCGCGAGATAGCTAAGATCGTAGGCATCTCAAAAGACTGCGTGGGTCATGTCCTGCATGAAATTTTGGGCATGAGAAAGCTGTCGGCACGTTTGTTCACTCCGGACAACAAGCGCAAACGTGAGACAACTTCAGAGCAATGTCTGACGCTGTTTAAGCACATTCCGAGGGAGTTTCTGCGTCGTTTCGTGACAGTCGACGAAACATGGATCCACTGGTATACACCAGGGACCAAGGAACAGTCGAAACAGTGGACTTTACCCGGCGAAAGTGCTCCGAAGAAGGCGAAGACTGCCCCATCGGCCGGAAAGGTGATGGCCACCGTTTTCTGGGATTCACAAGGTGTGATCTACATCGACTACTTGGAGAGGGGCAAAACGGTCACAGGGCTGTACTATGCCGAATTATTGGGCCGATTCGATGTCGAATTGCAGAAAAAACGGCCCCATTTGGCGAAGAAAAAAGTGCTCTTCCACCATGACAACGCACCGGCTCACACCTCCGCCGTCGCCGTGGCCAAATTGGTCGAATTAGGCTACGAACTGCTGTCTCATCCACCGTATTCTCCAGATTTAGCCCCGTACGACTTGTTTTTGTTCCCAAACTTGAAAAAGTCACTCGGCGGGCAGAAATTTGAGTCGAATGAGGAGGTAATCGCTGCCACGGAAGCCTTTTCAGACCTCGAGGAAACGTATTTTTCAGACGGGTTAAAGAAGTTGGAGCATCGCTGGGCCAAGTATATCGAACTAAATGGAGACTATGTTGAAAAATGAAACGCCACTTTTCCAAAATTTTCGTTTTTCTTTTGTAAGCTAAGGACTTATTGGACCACCCTCGTACTTTATGTCCTATGTGGCATGCGTTCAAAGTGTGCACAACAAGGTCAGTGTCTAATGGAACCGGCGTTCTGAACAATTATAAACGCTGTAGGTTCTTTTACGTTGGGCGCCATGTAATCCGTTTTAATTTCTTTGTCTCGCCCGATGTGCAGTCATACCGGAATGCGCGCGACGAGAACGAAATAATCAATTTTTGTTAACTAACCGAGGAACAGGAAAGGACGGGTATCAGACAACCAACTTACTAATAGCAGAGGACAGCAGTAAATTAATGTTTCAATCATGCACAGACTAGTTTATTTATTATGTAATCTACAGCGCATTTGGCCCGCGCATTTACGTTTATACGATGTGCGCGATAATCTAAAGCGCCGCTATTTCGTTTACAATCGTTCGTTTGTGTTACTCGTTTGCATGTTCGCTACCGATTTCTTCACGTTCGCAGACGTGAGGGGAGAGCTAAAATATTACGCGCGGTCGCTTATCGAAAACAATAACGCGAAACTGGCCAGCTTACCTTATGCGATTAGTCGAGCTGTCAGGGGGAGCAATTCAACGTCGTCTCTTAACGCGTGGCTCAGGTTGTCACTTTTTCAAATTAATCGTGGCTAGCCTCCGATGGCGTCTCGGCTAACCACTCTAAATCGCAGCAACAACAAAAACTATCGGCAGCCTAGTAATCGCACTCTTAGCGACGTATACACTCACGCACGCTACTACCGGTGCTAAAGTTATTCCTCTGCTCACGTTGCTATTCAAGTCAGCGGTATTCGTAGATTCTAGCTGTTATTCAACCTCACGTTACTCCTTCATTCCTGCACGTTGTTACCGGTGTCAAAGACGCTCTCCCACTGGTCCTTTTGTCTTCGCACGCGTTCCTTCCCACTTCGGACCGAGTTCCCGTTTTTGACTTCCCCCGGCCGGTAGGTACTGCTCATCGCAGACAGCCACGCAATCGAGACGGTAACGCAAACCGGACGTTTACCATTACAAACCTTATTATTATTAACCTTAATAAAACCTTATTATATAATTATTCACACATGAAACAATTTTTAGGTAACTTTATACATTAGCTATTGTACTTTTCTAGATAACTTTGTTAACAGTCAAGAGGGTGATTATCAACCTGAAACCAAAAAAATTAAAATATATTATTTAAGCGTTACATTAAAAATAAAAATTAAATATATAAATTTAGCTAAAGAAAATCATGGCTGGTAAGTTCCCACTCTGCAGCAAAAAGGATCTTATTTTTTAACGTACTAAACAGATGGGAAAAATATATTCAAAAAAGGGGTCGTCAAATTGAAAAGCAACAATTCGTAAACAAAAGTACATATAATAGATTTTTAGATGCTAACAAAAAAAATTTTCTGTAAGTATTCGGAACTTATAAGAATGGGCAATGTAAGGTGCTATGCAATTTAATCAAAAAGAATGCCAATTCTTTGGTTCCTTATCGTGGGTATACAAATTTAAAAAATATTGCCGAATAAAGCAAAGAAAAGTTACGAGATATGTGAAACCTACAGAAAAGAAGTTAATAACAGACATATTTTCAATAACTCAAAAATTTCAAGATGAGTGTTCCAATACAATAAAAACTATGGATAAAACCCATGTTTTCAACACAGATGAAATAGGTTGGGTATACAGATCAAATGTAAATAGGACATTAGCAATCATTGGTACGAAAACTATAGAAGCATACGTTGGTAGTTACAATAAAGTGACCCATACCTATACCGCTCAATATTCAATCACTGCAGCAGATAAACTTTTACCTAAAGTTTCCACATGTTTGCAAGAAGTCAATGGTGTGTTTGATCCAAAAATTGTGAAATATAAAGAGATATTATTGAAAGAATTTTCAAATATTTCTATAACTTGTTCGAAATCTGGGAAATTGTAATCGACCTAGTTTCATTCATATTTTCATTACATTCTCTTACGACATCTAGAGTAGAATCCATTTTTACTTCTTTTGGATAGCTGGGGTGAACAAAAAAATAATAATTTATATAAAAAATTTGTTAATAAATACGGTAATCAGAGTTGTACAGTTAAGGTTATTCCTCCTGGCTACACCGTTTATTCTCAAACTTTAGACGTTTATTTTTATAGACAAGCAACTTTAATTGAAGAAATTTACAATTGAGCATACCCTAAACAAAGAGAACACCAATTAACAACAAGATATGATGTCCTAAAAATACAATCACTTGTACTCAATCAATTATCAGTTGCAATATTTAAAGAAGTGATAATACGAGTATATGTTTTGAAATGAAAAATAGAAACACGTATTACAAGTTTTGAACAAAATATCGAGTTATCTCGAATATGGCGTTAAATCAATGATTTCGATGTTTGTCGATAACGGCCAAGGGACGTTTGGTATTATTTTAAGGTCTATAAAAAGTTATTCCCAATAATATTAGATTTATCGTAAAAGCTATCCTGTCAAGGGCTTAAAATAAAAAACTACTAAAAAACCACTGGGATACGACTAAAAAATTTAATTTTTCGCTTTTAATAGTTGACAGGGTTTTATGATAAATCTAATAGCACTGTTATATCCAACGTAAAAAATACATCGGAAACATGTATAGCTCTTTTCGAAATAACTTTTTGTAGTTCTTAAAATTAATATGGTATCCGCTACATCCGCCGAATTGCGAAAAATAAGTGTATATGGGTAACACAGCAGTACAAAAAAAATAAAGACCAGCGAGCTAAACCAGTATAACACTAAGTAATTTTGAGCGCTGAATCCAACTCTGGGATAAAACAAATTTAAACACCCTTAAAAAATATTTTGCGACTCAAAAACACTCTCTATAAGAGGTGAAAATAATATTAAACATACGAAAAAGTTATTTGACCGAAATTTAAAGAAAAGGTAACCTAAATTAAAATCAAAGACTATCATTCATGCAATACGTCTGAAATGTATCCTATCTAAAGATTAAAACCATTCCTATAAGGTCAAGAATACCCCAATATTTGTAAAAAATTATAAACTGCGAAAATATCAAATTTTCAGGAGAACCACGAATAAATTAATATTAAGTAGTATGACGATAAAATAGACGTACAACTTACCCTTCCTCGGAGTTAAAACCACCTTAAATTTATATTTATTTAAAAAAATCACTGTGACTACTAAGACTTTTACAAACGCAGAGAATGTTACGTATTATATTTTTTGCATTTATTTTCAAACGTTCTTCCCACTGAGTATCACTTATGCTTTTTATTAGTGTACCTGTATCACGGAACGGTTTGCTTCTCGTCGTCTCGTCGACAAAAACACATCTTTGTGCCGAGTATTCTTTGGGGGAATGGTCCAGCGTGGGTTAGGTATGCCTGTCGTCTTTTATATGGTAGCTCCAAGGATCTTCAATCTTCTTCCACTTATCAAATAAAAGAATAACGCGTCGTCGCGTAGGTTACGCTAACTTGCTTAAAGCTAAGTCGGAAGCTGAATGAATCCATCGGGGGCTCCTTTTCCCCCGTAACACACACGCGCGGGCGCATACGACAATGTCGACATTCGTGCCGATTGGTGCTGCCGATACACCGATACCGATACCGATACGCGATAATTAACAATTCTTGTTACAATGTATATCGCGGAAAGTAAACGGTTATTCAAAACTTGGATCGAAGAACATAAAAATTTCGTAACGAAAATTGATTACTCAGTAAATATTAATAATGACAAATTATTACTGGTGCTCAAACATAGTTTAGAAAATTACAGCTATTCTTTCATTAGGATTATTGAAACATAAAAATTAAAAATAATACTATTAACCAAAAGGAAGATATATTATTTTTAAGTTTATAATATCATAGAGTGATATTGCAACGGTAGTCGAGTTAATTAATCGAACCGTTCGCGATTCTACTTCTCGCGCGTTAGTTCTAATAGTTAAGAGAGAGAGGGGGTGCGCGATCTTTTGAATAGGCAGTTACGCCTCAGCTGTTCACGCGAGTTTACCGCCGAATAGTGTTTTGCACTTTGTTTCGCCAAAAATAAAGTTTCTCTGGGACAAATACGTGCGGGTGTGCAACGACGATATTGCAGCAGCAAGCAGCGGTACAGAAGCAGCAGATTACAGCTGATAGAGGAAGTACAAGGCAGAGCAGCTGATAATCAAGGGGCAGCGGCAGTTGATATTTTTTGCAACAACAATTACGGCTGATCATCGTAATTGCACCGCATGGTAGGTGCACCTTCCGTCATATTAAGCGATACAAAATACATTCGGTATTTTGTATATTCGTGATAGCGTTATTTTTTGTATTCGCGTCGAGCGTTAGTTTTCGGTAGAATTCGAATTTTCTCTCTCTCTCTTTCTCACCGAATATAACTAATTGTAAAATCCTATTCGAGTGCGTTAGTCTTTCGGCTCTACAAAGATTGTAGTGATTTTTATTAATTAAAATCTGTTAAATTTATTCGCCGTTTTCGTCATTTAATTTTCCTAGTAGCTTAACAAATTGAAAAAGGCTTAGGTTTTAATCCGATTACATCTAGGGGATTAAGAAGATTAGGAGTAAAGTCACTCACACTTAAAACTCAACGAGTGTCACAAGACACGTGACTTAAGGTGAGTTCAACTCCGTTTAACAGAAGACAACTAGGATAAATCATCTGACGTTAAGACGAATACACGTACTATCATACGTGTTTAACGGAGCGGCGGTTTGCTCTGCATTGTGGGAATTTGTTCTTATATAAATTTCTCATTTTTCAGATAACCTCCCACGTTACAATATATAATATAAAAAAATTATACTACAGTTATTTAAATTGTTTTTTGAAGCACATATTTGTTTCCATGACTACTGACTGCTTTCGTCTTTCTCTATAATAGACGTGAATTTTAAGATTGTATGTACGTTCGCGATAACACCTGTAACAGTTTATGTTTCTACAATAGAACAAAAATATGTAGAATTAATTTTGTTTATAAAAGGAACAAAATTTGAATATCTACTGCAACGATTACCGAAAATCGTTCCGACTCGCGTAGGTTACGAAGCGGCTGAGCGTAGCAGCCGCGATCGGTTTGAGAGAGAGAGGGCGCGTAGGGGCGATGACCGGGAGGGGAGAGTTCGACAATCAGTATGACTGTGACATTCAGTCTGGCAGCATTAGAGCGTAACTACAAATTACGAACCCCGTGTTTTGCGTCCTTCAAGTGATCCAGGGAGTAATGGACTTTATTACGGTGGGTGGAGTGAAGAGTGCGTGTGCGAGTAAGCGTGCGCGCCCACAGCAATAACACCAACAACAACAACACCAATAGCAGCGAGTAGCACGGTAACCTTAGCGGCTCAACGGGTGCATCAGCAACAACAGATTCTTGCGCAATTGGATACGGTTGGCCACCGTATCCCCGACAACTCCGCGGTAGGTGCTCAAAATTATTTATTGTTGTTTGTAGGCGATCCTGCGCAGCGTGCGCGGTGAAATTGTTTAAAGCGTGCGAGCGTTTAGTCCACGACGATCGCGAGTTTTTTCTCTCTCTCTCCCCTCGTTTACATTGTCAGTCGAATTCGCGTGCGTAAGTCTCTCGGCAAATCCCTCCCGTGTATTTGATTTAATTCAATAAAGCGAACAGCAGTTATTCGTAACCGAGTTATTGCTTTGTCTTTCCTTTGTCCGGGGTGCATGTTATTGTTTACATCCGATTCGAATAAGCCGGTAGAGTAGCACGGA